GATGAACTATTGTGTTTCTGTATCAGAGTGTTTGAGCGCAGTCTTGTTCATCAAGCTTCAGCATGTACGTGAGTTGATTATCTGATCTTGACGTTCTGATGTAGCAACTTCTGATGCTGTTGTATGAAATCAAATTCTGATGCTGAAAAGACATGATCTTGCTTATACCAATCAGAGTATCTGCAAGTCAGAACATAATAATTTTAGGCAGCAGATAGTTCATTCATGAAACTTATAAATACTATATCTTTTCACTTTGTTATCATCAAAACTTAAATATAGGGTAGTAGATTCAAACATTGTTCTAACAGAAAGCAATCAAGGGAAGTGTATTAGCTGATCATTTGGCTCATCAGGCCGTGGAGGACTACCGGTCCATGAATTTTGAGTTCCCGGACGAGAATATTATGCTGGTGACTGACTACGAAGAACCTGGACCGGATGAAGGACCTGAGGAAGGATCCCGATGGACTATGGTTTTTGACGAAGCTTCAAATGCACTTGGTAATGGCATTAGTGCTGTAATCATATCTCCTGAGGGTTGTCATACTCCTTTCACTTCCCGACTATGTTTTAACTACACTAACAACATGGCAAAGTATGAAGCCTGCATTATGGGTCTCAAAGCCGCTATCGACCTCAAGATTAAGTTCTTAAACGTCTTCGGGGGATTTAGCCTTGGTGATAAGCTAGATCAAAGGCGAATGGGATACGAAGCATCCGAATCTCATCCCGTACAAAGATCACGTACTGACATTGCTCCCTCACTTTGAGGAGGTAACCTTTGAACATTTCCCACGAGAGGAGAATCAGTTAGCGGACGCGCTAGCCACCATGTCTTCTATGTTCAAAGTCCAGTGGGACAACGAAGCTCCCTAAATCACCATTGAAAGGTTGGATGAACCAGCACACTGCTACGAGATTGATATCAAAGAGGTAGCAGATAAACATTGGTTTCATGAAGTAAAAAGGTATCTCGAGGCTCAAGAGTATCCCGAAGGGGCATCTGTCAATGATAAGAAATTTCTGAGAAGGTTCGCTGCAAAATTCTTCCTCGGTAATGGAATCCTCTACAAGCACAATCATGACTCTACCTTACTGCAGTGTGTAGACAAGAGCGAAGCGGAGAGGATTATGATAGATCTACATGAAGGTACCTTCGGAACCCATTCAAGTGGACATACCATGGCTAACAAAATCCTACGGGCAGGATATTACTGGTCCACTATGGAAGCAGATTGTTATCAGCACTCCCGAACTTGTCATAAGTGCCAAATCTATGCTGATAAGGTGCATGTGCCTCCGGTTCCTTTGAATGTTTTGACAGCTCCGTGGCCCTTTGCAATGTGTAGGGATGGCAACGGGTCGGGTCGGGTACGGGTTTCACACTACCCACACCCGCACCCGAAATCATCACCCGAACCCGAACCCGAACCTGAACCCGAAGGCTATTCGGTGACAAAATCACACCCGCGCCCGCACCCGTTGGGTTCGGGTTTTTTCACCCAAACCCGAACCCGAAGGCTATTCAAGTGACAAAATCACACCCGCGCCCGCACCCGTTGGGTTCGGGTTTTTTCACCCAAACCCAAACCCGCACCAAAAATCAAAAAAAAATTACAATTAAAATAAGGTCTCTTTATATTGTCTTCAAGAAAATGCAATCACAATTATCTTAACATAGTCTTCAACATCTTAACATTACAATTAAAATTAAATTCTACAATCAAATTACAACTTTTCAACAACAACAAGCTAATATATTACAACTTTCTTGTGTAAGATTAGATGTTCCTTCCGGCTCCGGAGTTGTGTTCACTTGATCTATTTTACCTATTACAAAGAAAATATATTTCACATGTTAAGAAACACTAATAGATATTATCATCATAATTTTAAATTGTAATAACAAACATGTGAAACTTAAAACATATAAAACATGTAACTTAATTCTTGGTAATGCTGAACTTTTAAATTGTAATAAGAAGAATCCTTTAGACCACTTCTTGATACATACAGAGATGTAATAGCTTACAACACAGATAACATATCGCTTTTAAATTGTAATAATTTTAACATGCCATATTCTTGATAATTTATCATGTTTGCAACTGGAATAAAACTGCCTATAATAATGTTTGTCTACTAACTTTCAGCATGCTTGCATGCGCGTTAAATATCTTGTTTTTGAACTGTCTAGAAACATAAGCACAACACTAAAAGAACTGTCTAATATCAAAAGCATTAGTGCAAATTAGTCAGGGCAACAATGGTGGAAGATAGAAACAATAATACTCACCATGTTAACATATAGAAACAACAACTTCTAATCTTCAAAATGGTAACCCAAACAACCTTCCATCAACTCAGCTGTATTAACAAATAAATTGATGTTAAATAAAACACTAAAGCTTAAAACTTCTACACCAAATGAAGTACAAAATACCTTCATCGTCTGACTCCATTTCATTCAACACAGTAGCAATTTCTTCTGCAACTCTAAAAATTCCTATATATATTATATAACAAGAAAAATTAGTAATATATTATTTGCCAATGACATACCAAAGTATTAATACATTATATAACAAAAAAATTAAGGTAGAAAGTAAAAATAATTTGACAATGACATACCGTTATTCTCAGCAGCCCATAGCCAACTCCTAGCACACATCGAAGCCTCTACGATAGTCCAGTTAAGTCGGCTACGATGAGGACTCAATATTCTACCACTATTACTGAAGGTCGATTAAGAAGCTACTGTAGAGATAGGAATAGCTAACACATCTCTTGCAATTGCTTGAAGTGTTGGATACACAACTCTATTTACCTTCACCAATTCAAAATGTCAAATTATGGAGTATTTTTTATAACTGGCTCTTTCAAATAATGATCTAACTCATACTTAACACTTGAACTTGAGTCTTCGGCAACGGCAATTGTCTCAACGTATGCATCAAATTCAGCCTCGTCATCAATAATAGCAGTTGTACCAATGGATGGAGCAGTAGGTTGTGCATCTCTAAGTTTAATCTGTTGATAATCATTCAGCAAATCATAACACATGTCTTTGATTCTACTAACTTGTGCACTTGATTCTTCTCCATACAACTTAGGAAACCAGAAATTAAGTACAACCATCTTCTTCCTAGGATCCAAAACTGCAGCAACTCCCATCATATCATGAACACCACTCCAATAATTTTGAAATTTTTCCATCATTCTTGTGGCCATCATCTCAATAATTGAATTGGAGGACTTCTTCCATTCCTCTATTGCCAACTTAATCTTACAAATCTTAGGAAAGTACAAGTTGGCAGTTGGATATTTTGTAGCAGAAATCAACTCAGTTACTTCATTAAATAATTTTAAGCACCCACAAACATCTTTAGCAAATTGCCATTGTGAATTAGTTGGAAGACAAGTGTACAAAGACTCACGTTGCTTCAACCGAATAAATACATCCTTGTACTCTATGGCAATATCAAGAATCTTATATGTGCTATTCCATCTTGTTGGACAATCTAGAGCTAACTTTCTAGTGCAAATAATTCTTAATTGTCTAGCGGTATCTTCAAATTTTTCATACCTTTTAGGTGTAGCACTCCAAAATCCTACACTATCCCGAATATTTTCTATGCCATCCTTAATCACTTGTAGCCCCTCCTGAACAATTAAATTTAGGATGTGCGCACAACAACGCATATGTAACAAAGACCCATCCCTTATTAAACATTCCAACGACAACTTATCCTTAATTTTCCTAATCATTGAGTCATTTGTGCTACAATTATCTAAAGTAATCGTAGAAAGCTTTGAATCAATGTTCCAGTCCATTAAACAATTAACAAGTGCTTCAGCAAGTCTTTCACTAGTGTGAGGGGCTGGAACATAAATGAACCTAACATAATATTTACAAAAAACAAGTCTTTCACTTATTGTCATTAAGAACAAAAAAAAGATACAATTAAGTTATAAAATATAAACATTGTTACCTCAAGATTCGACTCTGTAAAGTCCACGAGCCATTAATATAGTGAGCCGTAACCGCCATATACCCTTTTTTTGGTTGCTTGAAGTCCACATATTTGTGGTAATTGCCACTCTCCCTTCATGGTTATCTAACATCTTCATAGCACATTTTTTCTCAAAATCATAAACTTTCAATACCTCCTTCTTGATTGTGTTTCGAGTAGGAACTTTAAACAATGGTTGGAGAGAAACAAAGACTCTTCTAAGACCAATGTGATCCACAATTGATAGTGGATAATCGTGCATAATAATAGCTTCAGCAATCAACTTCTTCACATGTTCTGGATCATAAGTTCCAATTCCCAACTCTTGCTTTCCTTCTGAGATAGTCGGTAGGAGAAATGGTTGTCCTTTGTCATGGTTTCTAGTCTTGATCTTTTTTTGAATACAACTCAAGAGATGTCCTTTCAAGTGATTTGTTCCATTCTTTGAAGTGCCACTAAGTTGTTTTTTACACCAGATGCATTCAGCCTTATCTTTTCCATTCACTTTCATCTTTTTAAATTCTTGCCACACATTACTTCTAAGTTTCTTTGATGCAGGTTCTAAAATTGTATCAATTTCTTCTTGTTGCTCAATATCAGGTTCAGGTGTCGGATTCGGATTAGAAGATACCTCCTGAGTTGGACATGTACTTTCTTATGTAGGATTAGATGCTCCTTCTGGTTCCGGGGTTGTGTTCACTTGATCCATTTTACCTACTACAAACAACAAGAAATTTCATAAACAATTGTATAAAAGAAAATGAGACTTTAAGAAGGCACGAAAAAACATACCACCACAAGATTCATAATCGCAAACACCTTAACATTCATAAAAGTTTAAAAAAGAAATTAAAATGATAAAAACTATTATTGATAAAAGCTATTATTAAAAGTAATGTTTTTACACGAGACAACATGGTTTTGTTTCAAATATGAAGTTATATCTCTCTTTCTCAACTGTCAAAGATTCACAGTCCAGCAGCAATGGGCTATGATCCGAGTGCGACGCGAGGAGATTCCCCATGGTTCTGTAACAAAGAAACACAATCAGTTCTAAGTGTTAACTGGTAATTATACTTGCCAAGATGTAATGGAATTTCTTATCAGGGACTATATAAGTTTACCTTCTTTGTTCAACATTTTATCATTGTAACTCCTACCAAAAGTTACTTTGGTACAGTTTGGATTACCTTGTAGCTCATGGGATCATTTCAATATAAGTAAATATGTAATTCTTCACTTACTCAATTGTTTTTATAGTCTTAAGGGTTTATAGATGAAGTTAACTGAGATTTTATGAAAAATTTAATTGTTGAAGCTTATTTCAACCTTTACAAAAGCTACTGTTTCAAAATTGATAGTAAAATTCTTTTATATATTTTTTTCATGAATGTTTGTGGAGAAGAACCATAAAGAAAACAAAAGCAGAGTTGCTCATGCTATTTTGTGAGAAACTTTAAAACTGAAGTTATCGAAAATACAAGGCCAAAGCAAAAGAAGAAAAATGGAACTTTGACATTATTCACTATTTGAATATATATGTAGCTTGCTTTTGCAGAGTTTACTAGTGCAGAACAGGGCTTAAATAAGTTAGTCTTCCTCAAGTGGGCCAAATATTTTCTTATTAGCTCTTACCTTGTGTCATTGCTATCCTGTAAGGTGTTATATATGATGCTTCACTAGTAACTTCACTTCAACCCATGCTTTCAAAAGGGAAGTATATATATTATTCTCAAAGAATGGACACAATACTTTCTACCTGTGTTTTTGTTTTCTTCTATTGGATCCATGGTACTCTCTTAAGTATATATTTTGTTGTGTTATAGATACAGGGAAGGTTGATTTAGTGATGAATGTGGTGGAACGTCCTAGTGGAGGATTTTCTGCTGGTGGCGGGATATCAAGTGGGTAAGTGGTGCGAGTCTAGAGCATGCTTAAATAATGCTTAAATTTAGTAAATATGCAAATTATCTCAACCTCCTTTACTTATTAAAAATTCTCCTTCAGCAGTAAATTCGGAAGTTATTGAAAATCTTCTTACTTTAAATTTCCGAAAGACAACCATCCCTTCATATGTTACCAGAGGGGAAATCAACACAGTTTTCTTTTTTCTTTGGTTAGTGTATGGTCTAACTAGCCGTTAACATTTGCAGGATTACAAGTGGTCCACTCAGAGGACTTATTGGAAGGTAAGCTTATTTTCTTGTCGTGTGGTGGGTGAAGTTAATGCTTTGTCTTTTAAAGCATTCTATACTCTCTTTCATCAAATAGCCAAAATTACTCAACTTCAATTAAAACTGTTTTAAGGACTATTTACCTCTGCTGCTGGCTCTATATACGGCTAGTGCAATAAAGTGTTTATTCATGACATTGTTAAATATTACACATGCCCCTTATAGCTGTAAGCACACTGCCTACTGTTCACAATCTTACATCTGATAAAGCCGAGCCATATGAAGATTTTATATGATACTAACTTTACCATATCAGTTTATCAGTTCTTTACCTATTGTTTTATTTAATTCACTTAAAAATATAAGACTAGACAGTACACCAACGTTGTTATTCTGTATTTGACTGGAAAAGTAGTCATGGGACAAAACAAACTAAGGAGACGAGACATAGAGAAATTGATAAACACACTCACTATATAAGACTAGACAGTACACCCAAGTTGTTATTTTGTATTTGACTGGGAAAATAGACATGGGACATAACAAACTAAGGAGACGAGACATATGGAAATTGATAAACGCACTCACTAGAGTAAGGGATAACTTTTCAAGTATGAGACCATTGAGAACATCTCAAGTTCCACATTGGTTAGACATAGAGCCTGAAAAAGGTTTATATAGAGTGACATCCTTTTGCTTGCAAATCAGTTTTGTAAGGTTGAGTTAAGGTCAAAGTTATTCCATTTTTTCTCTCCATCCTCACTTTCCACCCCTTCCCGACGAATTCCCCATCTCTTATCAAATCTCTTGGCCACACTTAGGTTCCACAGGCAAGTACCACCACTGTCTAATTAGAAATCTAGTGACTGATAGCGGCATTCACAGCTCCTTCTCTTTCTGTCAAACATTTTCTCATATTCTTGTTTGGGTTGTGCTGGTGGCAATAGCCACACAGCTGCTTGCAGACTATGAAGCACAAACACCAGCACGTCATTGACATGTTGATATCGGTAATGATTTATGAAAATGAATCAACTGAATGTAACCACACGTGTCGGTGTCGTGTTGGACACTATACACACCTTCGATAAAAAGCATCGGTGCTACTGAGCTTGTAGATGCTGCATGGACATCCTCATAAATGCCCTAACAGCTCCTCCACACCAGCAGCTGATGAAAGAACATATGAGAACAGAATGGGATGAAATAAGGAAGCATTGGTGTTTTAGAACTATCTCTCCCCTCAACTATAACAAACTCTCACCCTCTCTTTCTAGCGGAGACAGAAACAGAATTTCCTCTCATTCTCTTCCACAACAACCTCACTCTCTCTGTCTTCTACACACAGTAACAAACTCATTCACTCTCTCTCACTTCCATTCTTCAACTCACCTCAACCTCTCTACCAGAAAAACATCAAATTTTCCTTTGCACATTCATCGCGATACGGGGACGATTCTAACAGAATAACAAAAAAAAATCTCTTTCTCTCTCAACATACATTTTCTCTTCTCTCATTCTCTCTCAATGAAAATATTCTCACCTCACAGCACTTTGAAGAGCTCCATTCAGTGCCAAAAATCATTACAGAATCTCACCTCAATCACGCTCTTGCGCATTCATCGTCGTCATTGTTCAACGGGAGAAAGAAAAGCAGTTGTGGAGTCAGAGAGATTTGAAGATTCTCTTGAGCTCTAAATCATCAACATCAAGATTCAAGTGGAGTTTGTAGAGTTTTCTTCCACGATACTAACGAATCTTCTAACATGTAAGTCTTCGAAAATCTCTCTCAGTATGCAAGATTCGAAAACTGAGCGCATAACTATGTATGAGAAGTTTGAAGTAACGTTCAAATCTACTTTCATGTTATGCTTTTCTTGACGAGTTTGAGTAAATAAACGTAAATGGATCTTAGATTTGTAACCTACGCGACGAAGCGAGCAGAACAATACCAGTTTTGTGAATTTTGGTTGAGGTTCAGCTAACTCCAAGGTATGCATTCATTTTGTTATTCCTGAGATATTTACCAGGATTTGATTCTTATGTCTGTTTTGTTGTGTTAACTTCTCTAGATTTATAATTTGGTTTCAGATTAGAAACATGGAACACATGATTCAGCATGAAACTCTGCCTCTAAAAGAAGAAAAGCAATTGATAAGGGTTTATTCTCCAATTAAAAGTTGATTCAACAATAAAAATAAACCGGCTGCCCCATAGTTTCTTGGTCATATTTTATGCAAATGAACACGGAATAGACGTCTACTTCACCGAAACTAACATGAATATCATTCGCCACAAATTCAATTGAAATCAAAATGAGAACAAATTTTCACGGTATAAATTTCAATCGAATTCAAACAAAACATGACAACAACTCAACATACACAAATAGAATGGCATCCGACACAATAAATTCAGCATAATCCAACACTACTACATAATCAAACGTAGTTATATAAACAAATCAGCAACTCAATTGAACAAAGTTGAGAGAAAACGATTACCGGGATGTTAAATTTGTTAGAATAAGTGAAGCTGCTGTTTGTTGTTGAACAACGACGGAAGTAGGCGCGGAGAATTAATGAAGCTTGATAAGGATAATGAGGCTAGGCCGTTAGGGCACAATGCAGGGAATTGTTGCGCACAGAGAAAGATTGAAGGATGGTGCTGACGAAGAAAATAGAGGTGGATCTGCCGTTATCGTTGACGTGCTGGATGTAGAGAGAGGGAGTTAGATAGAAGATGGTTATTTGATGATGGATGATGCGGATTGAAGGTGGATGATGTTACGGTGGGTTGGTGGGTGACGGTAAATCCAAACATACCCTGAACAATAAACCCTACAATACATTTTATTTTTAATTATTGAAATATATATATATATATATATATATATATATATATATATATAGGGATAGTTTTGTAATTTAACATATAAGCGGGTGTGGTTTCGGGTTTCGGGTGCGGGTTTAAGCTATCCCAAACCCACACCCGAAATATCGGGTGGCACCCGAACCCGAACCCAAACCCAGTCAATTCGGGTTTCACCCGTTGACTGGGGTGCGGGTGCGGGTGGGGCCCGCGGGTTTGGGTCTGCTTGCCATCCCTAGCAATGTGGGTCATTGACATGATCGAAGAAATCAGACCTACCACTTCCAATGGGCATCGCTTCATCCTGGTGGCTATTAATTACTTCACAAAATGGGTTGAGGCGGCCTCTTTTGCTACTGTATCCAAGAACGTCGTGGCGCGGTTTATCAGGCATAACCTAATCTATCAGTATGGTGTGCCAGAGAGAATTATCACTGACAATGGTACAAATCTCAACAACACGATGATCACCGAGCTCTGTAAGCAATTCAAGATACATCATCATAACTCTTCTCCCTACCAGCCGAAGATGAATGGCACTATTGAAGCAGCTAACAAGAACATCAAGAAGATTATACAGAAGATGAAGGTGACATATAAAGACTGGCATGAGATGTTACCATTCGCTCTTCATGGGTACCGTACCTCAACGCGGACGTCGACAGGGGCAACACCTTACTCTCTGGTATATGGCATGGAGGCAGTCCTACCTATTGAGGTCCAGATTCCTTCTTTAAGAATTATGAAGGATGCGGGTTTGAACGAAGACGACTGGATCCAGACTCGACTTGGTCAACTAAATCTGATCAATGAGAAGAGACTTACTATTGTTTGTCATGGTCAAATGTATCAAAAATGGATGATTAAGACTTTCAACAAAAAGGTCAGACACCAAGAGTATCAAGTCGGGGATCTAGTGATCAAGCGCATCATACTACCGCAAGGTGATCCCAGGGGCAAATGGACTCCCACATATGAAGGGCCATTTGTGATCAAAAACATTTTCTCAGGTGGAGCCATGATTCTAACCACCATAGACGGTGACGACCTTCCTCACCCTGTCAATGCGGACATAGTGAAAAGATACTACACATGATAAAAGACCCACTAGGTTGACTGGCCTAGGAAAAAATAAGGGCTTCCCGGCGAACCAAAAGGGTTCGGGAAAAAATAAGGGATGAAAATGAAAAAATTTGTACACCCGGCAAGTCAAAAACCTGAAAAGGTGGCTTGGGCAAAAAAGGGTATCCCGGTGGACTGAAAACCCGAAAGGGAGGTCCAGGAAAAAGTTAGGGATGTAAAGCGTATCATTATGCCCCATTGGATCACCTTACGACCAGACCTCAGTATCAACTGTCAAGTTCGAATGGCACCAATCAATCTAATCAGCTTTGGAAAAGCAGCAAAGTGATGAGACGCTCGAAGACAGAGTGGCAATAGCAGAATTGGAACCCAATGGGATTGTTGTACATAGTTGTTTTATTTTTACACAATATTGTATAATTTCCAGTTTTTAGAGGCATTCTCTTACTAGAGCATCAGCTCCCTTGTACAAAAACGCCTGTTATAGGCCAACTTCGAAAATCAATACAAATCATTTCTACAAAACTATTTGTTTTTCTTTTTCTGTTTTGTTTTGCAAGAACATCCAATGATTTATTCTTGACATATGCATTTGAAAATGATTGTTGTTCATAAATATTTACATAAGAAACGGAAAGACAATTGCTCGTAACTTAAGAAACAGGGGCAAAAACAAAAAATGTCCAAACCCTACTATTACTCTGTTCAGCAGGTACCAGGACAGAGACAGCTTCGAAACACAGTCATCAGAGCGTACGACCTTGCGACATCTGTACTCCCCACAGAGTAAAGAGGTGATCAAAGCATTGATCTCAGCTTCCCTAAAGCAGGAGGTACTTTCTGCAGCCGGTTCCCTTTAGAGAGCTGCCAGTTATATTCCCCCAGCCAAATTTCATAATCGCAAGCGGGTCATAAAACTTTGTCTCCCAAGCAGAGTTTACTTCCCTGAATGTGGAAACTCAACCCCCAATAGAGCTTATTCCTTCAGCTATGGAAGTTCATTCTCCAACAAAATTATTCCTCCGCAGATTTATTCTCACACAGATTCTCTCCCTGGAAGAATATTCACAAACAACAAGGATTAAATCTCCAGCATAGTCATCTCCGTTCACCATCCCCAACGGAAGTAAAAGAGCCACAGTCCTCTACAATCGTCAGGAAGGCTATACTCTCCAGCAGTAGTGGGGGATTTATTTTCCCAGACTCGGACATGCCATAATAGCATTTCATGTTCATGCATCATGACATGCGCATACATATCACATACAACATAGTCTCATTTATTTTGATAACATCATCTCACAATGCATTTCATACATCGCATATAATCAACCCTGTTATCTTTTCAGGAAAGACAATTATCACCAATAATTCCAGTAGTTATACATGTCATATCTGTAGACGGCTAATGAAAAATCAGTTCTCGAAACCAAACGGGTCAAATAAGCTACGCAACCAAATGAAGTAACCCTACAACCCAGGTTCCTTTCTCATAGCCCTACTATCCAGGATTTCATCTCGAAGTAACCTTATGACCCAGGCTCCTTCTCATAGCCCTACTATCCAGGCTTTCATCTCGAAGTAACCCTACAACCCAGGTTCCTTCTCATAGCCCTACTATTCAGGCTTTCATTTCGAAGTAACCCTACTATCCAGGTTCCTTCTCATAGCCCTACTATCCAGGCTTTCATGTCGAAGTAACCCTACGACCCGAGTTCCTTCTCATAGCCCTACTATCCAGGATTTCATTTCGAAGTAACCCTACTATCCAGGTTCCTTCTCATAGCCCTACTATCCAGGATTTCATTTCGAAGTAACCCTACTATCCATGTTCCTTCTCATAGCCCTACTATCCAGGCTTTCATCTCGAAGTAACCATACGAACCAGGTTCCTTCTCATAAGCCCTACTATCCAGGCTTTCATTTTGAAGTAACCCTACTACCCAGGTTCCTTCTCCCTTATCTCTAGACGACAGTTTACAACACTGTAAGACCTGGACCCGACCAGATACGGTCGA